GGGGGGGGGGGGGGGGGGGGGGGGAGGTAGGAACCAGTTTGGGGTCGAACCGAGTACTATTGGGCCCTCAAATGCAGTGTCATATTACGACACCAGCCTTTGGTTTCAAAAGAACCTAGCTCTGTTTTTAATGTACTTAAGTTTCTACTTTGTTGGGAACTTGGGTTTCTCCGGTTTTTTTAAGGCTGTACTTCTCTCTATATTTTTCTTGAAGATTTGCTTCTTGTTGCTGCCCTTCTCATGGAACTTGCTTCACAGACATCTAAGGGAATAAATAAAGACACCTCCCATCTCCAAGAAGACCAGTCTTCAATCAGGTTGCAATCTACATCCACATCTCTTCTTAAAGTTTTCTTTCTACCTTCTTTTCTCAAATCTTCATCACATGGAAGTCTATGCTCACCAGTTCATGTTGAGATTTACGCCCCTAGGTTGAAGGCATGTTATCTTCATACACAACAGTTCTTTGCTTCTTTTGATACCGGTTTTGAGTTTCAAATTATTAAACTAGGGCCCTACTGTGCTCTAGTAGGCCCCGAAAAGGGTCTTGCCCCCTAATCTCACACAACCCCCCTACCCCGGAATTCAATGATCCGGTACTCCGGGAGTTCAGCAATCAGGGGTTGGGTGCAGAGGGGTTTGTGGGGGGTATTATAGGGGCTAGGACCCACTTTGGGCCCCAACGAAGTACCGAAGGGCCCTCAGATAGCCCAGTGTCGTATGATGACACCCAATGTGGGTATCAACAGATCCTTGCCCATCTTCATAACATGAGGTTAGATGTAGAGAGCCAATGGGCGTGAGCCTTATATAGAAAGCCACATATGTATGTCCCAGTGTTTTTTTATTTATATTTATTTTCTGAGTATCCAGGTTAGTAGATGCTCATCATGCTATTCAAACTGAGGCGGAACAGAAAAATTGCTCTCCTACATTGTCTTCCTCAACACAAAAGCATCAGATGTGGGCCTTATTAGATGGAATACTGCTTATTCTGTCATCAACATACTTACAATGCGTAGCCTTGTTTTTGTGGCTGAGTGCAATTATCTCATCTTTCTTTTACTTTCAGGTAAATGAAGGGCTTCTTCATTGTAATTTCATTTATAAAGATAATAATTTACTAGTTTCTGCCTCATCACACTCTTTCCTATTTGCAGAAAGTGACTGTTATTGCCAAAACAGTTACTAATCCTGTTGGCAGAAGGAAAGTATTTGCTGAGATCAATTCCTGTATTGCTGTTTTTATCCTCGTAGGTCAGCTTACTTTAACGGTAATGCATTTTTAATTTGTGGGATTTCGTTACAATAAATATTTTCTCTGTTCTCTTGAAAGTAAATTCAAAGCAATTAGCCAAATTCCCTACCATGAGTGGTTTTTGCTACATTCATCATCATAATCATCATCACAGGGGCGCATCCTTACTATTGCTGGGATTACTTCAGCTATTTGTGCGTCTCCCTTTGTTGCTTGCATAAATTTAATTACATTAGCTATTTGGCCTTCATGGATTCAAGTTGCCATATCAGAAACTCTAAGAAAGGTTTGTTCTTCTAAATTGGCACTTCTTTTAGTTTTATTCTGCACTTCTGCCATTCTTTTTTCCAACGCACATCTCTTAGAGGGAAGAGAGAGAGAGGGGGGGGGGTGGGGGAGATGATTCAGACTCACCACATCAATGATATTAAGGGACTAAAAGTACTGTTTTACCCTTACATTAAAGTAATGCATCCCACATAGTTAGGGTAAAACAGTGATTTTGTTTCCAAAAATGTTGTCCAGACATGGGAATTTATTATTTATTGATGATTGTTTCTACAGCTGGATGAACCTCACAATTTTTTTATAGTAGGTGGTGAATTATGTAGTAACTAGGCCAGGACGGGAGCTCCTTTTCACTGTTGTCTCACAAGAAGAGAAGTACAAAGCAAAGGTATGGAATGGTTCAATAAGTTACTTCATTTGTTTTCCTGCACCGTTTATTGTACTTCTGATTAGTCACACTTTAGGGATTAGGTCTGCATACACACACCCTCTCTAGACCCTACATTCTGTGTGATTTTACTGAGTTTGTTGGCTGTTGAATAGTCCGGCTGTATAAACCTTCTGTCATCTTTCATTTTAACATTTTCTTCAAACAAAACATATGGTGTGCCACAGGTATGCATTGATGTAATTGTTCAAAGGCTAGGGGATGCCACCGCAGCTGGCATGTATAAGCTATTTGTCAGCACAACCAACGACAAGGCATCAACAGTCTCTCTATATGCACTGCCGGTATGTAAAGAACATCTCTTAGTTGTTGTTGTTGTGCTACTTAGTTGGAGAGCTTTATAAATGCCTATAAGAAGTAGATTCGATTTTAGGAGTCATTTTTTACAATGTTTTAGCTTCAGGTAAACAATGAACTAAATTAAAATGATACAGAGTACATTAGACTTCTTTTTCTTCTTACTCTGTATGAAGGGTTGGACAGTAAAATGCAATAATGCATCGAGTTTCTACGGAAACAACATCTCTGGGGTAAGTTTGCGTATACCTTGACCCATAGACTTCAACAGAGTTTTCTTCTTTAGTTCTATTCAAATATTCAATATGGAGTGATTACTTACTACCAAGTAATGACCTACTATCCATCTGATATGCTTAGTATGAGTAAATAGTAAAATATGGAGAAAAACATTTAATGCACATATTTTCATTAAAAGACAAAAAAAAGGAGCAAACACATGTGGTGAACGAAGACATGATAAATACGAAGAACAAGGAAAAAGTTACATTTTAGAAAATACCCAGATAACCATATTAAATGCGTGATTTTGGTACAATTTTGGTATGGTGTAGTTAGATTATAGGAAAACCAAGATCCGTGTTATAGCCCGGGTTTGGATCTTACCTTGGAGGATTGCCGGGTGCTGCAAACAAAAAAAACATATCCTTCCGTTTCTTTTTAACTGTCTATTATGGTTTTCTGTGTCATTTTGTCAGGTGTGCTTGGTATGGATAGGGGTAGCTTTCCATCTAGGAGGCAAGCAAAAACAACTTTCAAGGCTTCAGGCATTTGGAGAAGTTGAAGTTGAAATTGCTACAAGGAGCTAATCCTTTTCCCTTTTCTTTCTTCTTCTTTTTTTTTTCTTTCCAAATTTTGAATTTGTAAGGAAATTCATTTCTCTCCACACAGTTGGCCAAATCAATGCCAGAAACAAATGCAGCTGCATGAAATCATAAACATTGTTTTCTTTATAGTACAATCTTAAAATCATTTTCTTCTTGCCCTGTTCATGACTAAACCCTAAAATTTCAGGTCTAACTTAACCAGCCCGATAAGAATTCGAGCTCAAGAGCTTTGTAACACCGCCATCACTGCCGCCACCAGCACACCACCATGTACACCGCTGCAGGGCAGCCACACATACCTACCTACATACATCCTGTGCCACCACCATAGCTTTCGTCTTGACGACGACACTACCATTTGAGTTTTAATAATGCACCTTTTATTAGTACTCCCTTCTCATGAAAAACATTATAGCTTCACCTGGCACGCGTATTACAAAACAGAACTTTTGTGGTTTGATATTTTGTCGATAGAGAAATGAAAAACATATAATTACTTCGGAATATTTCTTAAAATAAAAACAAATCCAATACAATCCACAAAAAAATAAGGTATGAGAGGGTGTGTATGCAAACACTACCCTTACGAAGTACTCTGTAATAAATTGAATTGTTTCTAAGAGACAATACCCTTGTTAGATATTCTGTAGTAAAGAGGTTTCGAAAAGAGTTCAACTCAAATATATAAATAAGGGCAAAGAAATCATTGGATCGCGAGACATGTACAAAACACATTAGAATATGAAAAAAAAACTTAAAATTGGTATGACATTTATTTACTTCACAGTTCATGCTCTCCATACATGTTTGGCCACACATTTGACCCAAATCAAAAATTGGCAAAGCACCATAGTCTCTATAGTTTGACAGAAGTAGAGTCCACACCTTATTACACTGTAAACAAATCCACATGAACAACACTCTAAATGAGCTTAGCCTTTAAGGTAAAAAAAAACTGTACATATACATCTTTTTTTCCTCAAGAATATCGGAGAGCACGGACACGATCTTGAATCAGTGTCCTTTCCCAATCCGCCACGCCCTCAAAGGCATTGTCCGGAAGATTCTCAAATGGTTCTTTCCAAGGATCGTTCTTAGCCAAATCGTACGTGGCCCCACGTATCGCTCTTTTGTTTGGCCCACATGGCCTCTTTGAAGTGAGTGTGTTGTATGCTCTATTTAGCTGCTCCCCAAGCAACAAAAGAATCAGTTTGTCATTACTATGTTTTAACAACAACAGTCCAGTGAAATTTCACAACAGAAACACACGAAGACAAGGTAGACACAAAAAGACATATAGAAGAACTCACATCCATGTTGCAAAACCAGAACATGTAAGCAATTGCAACAGCAGGAGCCCTCCCCAATCCGGCCGTGCAATGCACATAAACTCTTCCCATCTCTTCAGAAATGGCACACTCCAATAACGAAACTGCTTTAGGCAATATGTTCCTTAAGGAATCTGGATCGAAATCTTTTGCCTGTAGTTTATAAATAATTGCAGATCGTGTCAAGGGCTCATTTGAATTTTGGAAGGTCGATTCTTTCACTTTTATCCTAGAATCAACATGGTGTTGGATTTGTTTTAGATTCTGAAACTAATCATCATTTCCAGAAGCTGATTTTTAGAAGTAATCAACTACTTGATTCTCTAGAATCGACTATTGAGAATCAAGCTTTCCAAAGAGGAGAATGAGAACCAAACGAGCCTTAAGGCTTGAGGTTCATTAGTTGTGCATTTTTAAGGGGGGTTTAAGATCAAACTCGTCGTTTGAGTTTAACATGCTAGAAAGTAACTCAAGATCTTATGTGTTGATTTGCATTTCAATATTCTATCAATGTTGGATGGCTTAACAAGCATAAAATGAACACATGTAGATGATGATGACGATATTGTAAGAATTAGTCTCAAACATGCAAAATCACTGAAGTAGTTTTGTTTTAGGTTCAATTTACCGGACTCCTCATGTGACGAATTCCAAGTTCTTGGCATCTTTGTACGATAGAGGGGAGATGTATCCCCCAATATTGAATATCTGTGTCCTGCTGCAAGTTTAGGATATACCCCACGTTATGTTCCTCCCTCAAATGGTCTATGTCTTCGACTTTCTGAGGTTGAGAACCAACAATGAGATTTTCAGTTATCAATGTATAGTTCATACCTGAAGCATGGAGCACACACTATTAGCATGATAAAATACTTATGCCGCCGATTTGGGGCAGGGTATTGAGTCTCGACGCAGGGGTTAAAGGGTGGGACCCACTATAGGGCTCCGGAGTCATATTATAACACCCAAAACTGGTGTGAAAATAACCATGGGGACAATCCATAGCTTATAACTTAAAAATCTAAACTTTCAACTTTTTTTTAAGCTCCAATTTTTTTTTAAAGAAAAGCAAGCTAGTTAAGGACATGGACCATCAATAAGGTGCCACCTCATAAGCTTATTTCATGTTTACTTTACATGTCCCCTTACTAGAGCTCATCAACAAAGAAAGGCTCTCAGATTCACATGTCCATCTCAAAATCCATATCCACCAGAATATAAAAAAAGAAAAGCTAAAAAGGGTGTCTCCAAAAATTCCATTCACACAAGATAAGCTTCACAAAGTGGGAAACTAATACTGTATAAGAGAAGAAACAAAACAAACAAGATACATTAAAACTTGACAATGGCAAGAAAAGTAATACTCCATCCCTCCCACTATTTTTGTTCATTTTTACTTTTTTTTTACAGTCCCACAATTTATTTCATACATTTGTATGGTTCACATTCATTCTAATCTAACTTTTCAACATCAATATCAACCATACATTTTTATTTTTCTTTACTTCCATATCATTCCCTTATGTCCTAAAAATAGCAGAGAATATACCATGATCTTTGATTATGATTTGTGAAGTGTATAACTAGTATTTATATGAAATCATAAAGAATAAATTACACAACAGCCCAGAACTTTAAATAATTATAAATACACATAGATGAGGGAAAGAACTGACCTAGATCATGGTGATACTCATATGGGTTCCTCATCATCATCTTCATAGCCATGTTATACTCCTCCATTTTGGTATTGGAAGAAACCCCTTTGCTGGAAATGGCTTTCCCAGATTCACTTTCAGTCAATTTGGAATACATCTTGCTGGATCTGGAGGACGATTGAACTGAAACCCTGTGATTTCTTCTGCTCGGAGGAGAAAGAATCAATGGAGTCCCACGAGCTGAAGAAGAAGAAGAAGAAGAAGAAGAAGAAGAAGGAATGAAGTATGTGGTGGCTCTGCCCAGATGTAAAGCTTCCATTTTTTTTTCTTTGAGATTTCTGGAACTTCCTTTTTTCCCCCACTTTTTTTAAAGAATCGAATAAACTTTCTTGGGCCGCAATTGTGATGCCCGATCCAAGGGAATATTCTATTGTCTGAGGTCTTGTTTGGTTGGGCCCATTTCGAGGTGGACATGGACCGGTCACCCGACCATTTTCAGTTGGGAAATTGTGAAAAGAGAAAAAGAAAAATTCATGTAATAATCGGGCCGAGTTTACTTCCCTCTTGAAATCCGTACCCCCGGTTCGGTCTGAAATTTTTATGTTCTGTCCCAAATTAAAGTTTTACTTCGATTTGAAATATTTGTGTGTGTGTGTATTCTTATCTTAAATCATTTCAAATATTTAACAAAAATAGAAATGAAATGTATATATTCCACATTATTTAATCAAATGATCAATGAAAAAATGTATACATAAAGAAAAAAAGAATTTAGCTATGTAAATAATAAACTAAAACTTTATTCTAGGAATCATGGGATATATATATTTTTAAGGATATTCTATACTTCTCTCATTGCGTAAAAAAAAATCAAAATTTCTTTTTTAAGTTTTCTACAAAAAAATAAATTAAACTTTCTCTCTTTTCAAACGAGCACCGTTCCTCTACACCACCGTAACCCCAGCCTCCTCCTTTGGGTGGCAATTTATTATCAAAATGTTCGCTAGTAAATTCTTGTCCAAATGAGGGCTGGACAAGGATAAAAAGTTTGTATGGACTATGGTGTATAATGTTATAATATATGACATTGAAATTTAATCTTCGCATCAACAAAATTAAAATTATATAGCAAGTCAAAACAATACCAAAAAAAAAGGTTGTGACAGTTTGAGACTATATTAATACTCTTTGCTTGAGAGGCAAACAAATTAATTAGAAAGGTAATGTCAAATAAATGTGGGATGGGTCTGAACGCCAACCCCCCTCCTCCTATTCAATAACAATAAAATCATACTTCCTCCGTCCCCCTGTTTTTGTCCACTTTCATTTTTACACACCATTCAATGCACTTCTTTAATCCATTTTATCTTGTAATTTGTATAATAAAAAATTATAGAAATTATATATTAATAATCTATATGTTAAGATAAATCAAACAAGATCACACAGGACTATATTTAGGCTTACACAACAAAAACTAGGGACGGAGGGGGTATCATTCATATGTAGCTTAAAAACTATACCCACTCTTTGTTTCGAAGACATTCACCAATATTTTATACTAGTGTGATGATTTATAATTAAATAATATGCTAGTGTGAATTTTTTTGATTGAAATGATATTTTGTAGCCGTATGGTCGTATGAACCATTAAAATAGTGATATATTTTTCTAGAGTACAATTTAAGAAAAAATTCTTTGTATACCGTGATTGATTATATTCAATAAATATGACTATATATATGTGGGTCGGAGGCGTGAATGAATGAATCCACAAGCTGCCTTATCAACCCCCACCCCACCCCCCTTTTTTACCAAATTAAAACCAACTCATCGAGCCCATGAAGTACAATCAATGAATCATGCAGGGCATTCAAACATTTTTGGAATTTCAAGAAAAAATTATGTTTCGTTATCGATAATGCTAACTTTCTTTTTTGAGTAATTCCTACAAAATTAGGTGCAACAAAATCGTTTGAAAATGCATCACGCTGAAATGCATCATAATCCTTTGAAAATGCATTATCTCAAAATCTGAGCGCAGGATGCAATCTGAGCCGCACGATGCATCAGATCCAACGGCTAGATTTCATTCTCATTTCTCTCCACAAGGTGCATTCTCACAGGAACCGGCGCATATATATATATATATATATATATATATATATATATATGTATGTATGTATGTATGTATATATATATATATATAATATATATATATTGTTAGATACTTTATCCCTAAAACATTAAAATTATTTGTTTCATATATATAAATCTCATTTTTTTAAATATGTTAAACTTTTTAAAAGGCGTGTTTCAAGTTGTCAACCCAAAGAAGAAGTGAAATTTGAACAAAGATCCAAATTATTTGTGTCCGGTTCAACAAAGAAAGGCTTAGAACTATTTATGTCATTTAGCCTGAACTCTTCATGAGGTATGTTTTTTCCCGTGAATTTTCAAAAAATGTACCAAATATTTCATATACTTTTTTCTATGAAGTACATGTTTTATTCTCGAGTTCTTTGAAAAATACATGCATGTCTTCTTCTTGAACTTTCAAATAATGTAACATTAATATCAATACTTTTCATAAAGTGTATATATATTTTTTCATTCAAACTTTTAAAAATACACTATTAGTCCTAGTATTTTTTTTATTCTTTTTTATTCAAATTTGATTAAAGACATTGTTAAATCAAGAGAAGTTCTTAGGGTTTCAACCATCTACCATTTAAAAAAATATAGAATTATAATGATAACACTTCTGACAAATCAAAAGGAAATGGTGTATTTTATGAAAATTATAGAGATTACTGGTGTACTTTTAAAAGTGTGGTGGGAAAACATTCATTTTAAAAAAAAGTTCGGAAGTAAAGCATGCAATTTATTAAAAATGTGAGGACTAATGATACATTTTTGAAAGCTTAGAAAGAAAATATGCAATTTATGAAAAGCTCACTATTAATGAAAGGAAAACTCGAAAAACTTAGACTATGTTCTCTTCAACTTATTTTTTATTCATTACGTATTTATATTGGAATCAAATTATACAAAAAATAAATTTAAATATAACTATATTCAGATCAGATCATATCAAAACTTATTCTAATGAGATCAGAACTAATCAGATTCGGTAAAGAAAACATGACTTTATACTCCAAATAGAATGTGTCCAAAATTTCTGCAGCCCCGTGAGAAATAAACCAGGGCCTCTTCTTTCTTTTTTTTTTCGAACACACCAGGGCCTCTATAGTGTGTAGTACATCAATTATTTATATGTCTTCAAAAAAGTGTTAAACTCCCATATTAGGTTAAATTCCTACGATGTTAATCTGTACTACACTAATTATTGTTATACGGAGTAATTGAAATGTATGTTGATAAATATTTGAAATTAAGATACGAAGTCTTTCTTCCGTCCCGTAAAATATTTCCTATTTTGACTTTTGAGTAGAGAAACGAGTAGACCGGAATAAAAATATCAAAATGGGTATGACGTAGAAGAAAAATAAAAGAAATTGTGTCCATTTAGCCAAAACTGAAATGTTTTATGTTAAGAGTATCCCACATCGGAAAAGTGTGAGGAAAATAATCGGTATATAAGCTCTTGAGTTGAACTAACTAATCGATTGGATTCAATCTTTTAATGTGGTTCAACCCAAGTGTCTTATTGCACAATCCAATTGTCCATACACATCCTAAATTCTACGGAGTATCATGGTATCAGAGCAGGTTTTGGCCCACCTCGTTTGTCATGGTGTCCGTCTAGACGTTCATTCCTAGCGGCCCGTTAGTCTTTAGCCCAGTTGTCCGTATGGAGTATGTATCCAATGGCCTGTGGCCCGTTTAACCCGATTGCACGTCTGGAAGTCCATACCCAGCGGCTCGTGGTCCTTTAGGTGTTGGCGCTCAAAAAAAAATCAAGGGGATGGGAGTCTATTTGCAAGTGGTCAACCGGTTAGATTCAAAATGGCCCGGTCGTCCACTTGAGGGGGAGTGTTAAGAGTATCCCACATCGGAAAAGTGTGAGGAAAATAATCGGTATATAAACTCTTGAGTTGAACTAACTAATCGATTGGATTCAATCTTTTAATGTGGTTCAACCCAAGTGTCTTATTGCCCAATCCAATTGTCCATACCCATCCTAAATTCTACGGAGTATCATTTTATCAGACAAATAAAATGTGAAAATTGAAAAATTTTACGTGACGTACTTCGTTTTTATGATTTGTCTTCATTATATTGTTATGTATTTATGATATGTCTTCATTGTATAACAAGTCAAACTCGAACATTGTTCTTTTTTCATACTCCCATTTTATACTCGGTAATTCTGATTGACTAATTAAACGACGTCTAAGTTTGGAAGTTGAGCACTAATCATTAACATTATTATATTGAAATGGCAACAATCGTGCGAATGTATAACTTTGATATACAAACACGACACTAATTACTCTTTTTACTTTTTGATTTTAGTAAGGAATTAGGAAACTCTCTTCGTCTCAAAATGTTTGTCACATTAGGTAAAATGAAAAAACTTTTTAATTTTTTAAAATTTATTTTATTTAAAGTTTGCATTAAAAATTCATCAGAATAAATGGTAATAAGAATATTTTATTTTATAAAAAATAATCCATAACAATGTACAAAATAACAAAAATTCTTATAATTTATTTTTGAATAGTGAACTAGCTATGTCCCCATGTGTGACATATTTTTTTCACGGAGGGAGTAAAAGCCTTTTATAACACGACTATTTTCATGAAAATTTCCACAACTGAGAATAAAAAAATATGCACGCAACGCAATGTATGTTGGTTGTTAGGATTAAGGGGGGTTTGACAAATATCATAATTTCATAATCCTTCTCTCTCCATATATTCATTAATTAATTTGACTATTGGAGTCCATTAGAAGTACTTTAGATATCAGTTACCCTATATTCTCTCATTTAAAAAATTGGAGTGTGGATTGGTTGACCCGTGACTTTATTTTTTTGTTTAAAACTTTTTTTACCTTGTATTCGTTTTATATATTGTACTCCGTATATTAATATAATAAATTTTTTTTTTGATAATTTTAACAAAACAAATATAGGAAAATTATATATATATATATATATATACACACACACACACACACATTGGGGTTTTATATTTTACTAAGTTCCAAGGTCTGTCCAGTTTGACTATAAAAGTTAAATTAGACAAATATACTAAAGAGAGGGGTAGTATTAATCAAAATTTCATTTTTTTTTCTTGTTAAAGGAAATATTTTGGTAATATTCTGGTTACAAATTGACAAAAAAATGTGAGTTAAATTATTCTATTTTTGTTGTAAAAGTGAAAAGAGATTGCTTGAGTAGGAGTGCTTCTAATTATAATTCTTGCACTACAAAACAAGAGGTGACAATAATATTTTATTTTATCAAATACTTAATCAAATCGCGTAAACAAATAAAAGTTATCGAGAGGAGAGAGAAAAAAATATAATCTATTTAGGGACGGAGAGAATATATTTTATATTAATTAGATAAAAATAATATTTTGAAAATATTTTATATAATAAATCAAAAAAATATTTTTATATTAATATCCAATATCAGTTTTGTTTAATTTGAGATCAAAGTTTACCAATTTTAATCGAAAAATGTGACATGAAAAAAAATATTTGAAAAGAGAACAGCACAAATAAGCTTGCCACAAAATTTGAATCCGTCCATATCTAGACAACGATACACATGAAACTGATGAAAGAGGGACAAACATGTTGTCAAGTTTAAGGACAATATAGTACCCCACTTGTGTTCACTACCAGTTTTGCACCCCGAAACAGAAATATGCCATCTAATCTCCTAATCTATACTCCCAAAGATTAGGAAAACTTGAATTGTTTGACATACTAACATAAGATTTCTACTCAATTTCAAATTAGTTTATGAAAAAAATAGTACGTCCATTCTACAACATCACATACCTCAGTTCAACAGAATAATAAAGAAATTAATGTTAGAAATTAACGTTAATGTTATGATAAGGCTATAACGTGCAAATGTTTTCAAAGTTAATTTACACCGTTAACGGTTTATCCAAAATGCTAACACTAATAAAAAACATTATTCCTAAACAAGGCCAACATAATACTAATCTTTATAGAACGTGTCTGCTGTCTGAAAATTAATCTTAAAACCTTAAATTTAAGGTTTGTTCTTTAGGATTAAGTTTTGGAAAGGATACACAGTGTACTAAGCGGGGATAATGACAAAAGAAAAGTCCTAAAGAAAAGAAAAGAGCAAATGGTGACCATTTACAATGCATTAAACAATCGTATCAAACAACTTTGATTGATTTGGAATCATCCATCCTCGTCGTCATTAGCCACTAACTACGCGTTCCCTTAGAGCATGTGCAATGGCAAGGAAGAGTCATGCCATGCACTGCCACATCAGCTTCTTCCACACATATCATGGCATGGCAAGGTTAAAATGCCTTGCTTTGTGAGGCATGAGTGTGACACTCCATCCTGCTTTTTTTATTTTTTTTAAATAAATTTTTTTAAAATTTTTTATGAAAAAAAATGTATAAGAAAGTAGAATAATTTTTTAATAAAATAAATAATAAAAATATTTTTTTTATGTTTAAAAAACATAAAAAAATGTAAAAAAGTGATAAAAAATAATGACTTGCCATTGTAGAACTTGTCACTCCATTCACTTGCCACACGCTGACTGGATTATTTTTGATTGGTTAAAATGTTCCATGTCACCGTGTGGCATTCCATTTTCGTCTTGCCATTGTTCATGCTCTAAACAGCGTTTACCCCAAGTTCTCTTTATTATTACCACCCGACCCCTTGATTATACCATATTTCGACATAAGCCCCACGCTCCAATCCCACAGGTTCAAGACGATGAAGGTCCCTATGCCGCCGATCAATCCGTAGGCGATGGAGTAGGTCAACGGCATCAGGACGAAGGTCACGAACGCCGGAATCGCCTCCCTCATGTCCTCCCAGTCGATGTCCGTCACCGATTTCATCATCAGTACTCCGACCAGTACCAGCGGCGGCCCCACCGCCCACGGCGGGATTGAAGCCAGCAGCGGCGTGAAGAAGAAGGCCAGGAAGAAGTACCACGCCGCCGTCAACGCCGTCAGCCCCGTCCGCCCGCCTTCCCTTATCCCGGTGGAGGATTCGATGAACGCCGTCACCGGAGATGTCCCCAGCAGCGATCCGATCACGATCGCCGTCGCGTCGGACATGAACGCGAAGTACTGGCCCTCGAAGTCGCCGTTTTCGTCCGTGAATCCGGCGAATCGCGCCATCGAGTACAGAGTCCCGGTGGTGTCGAGGATGTCAACGTAGAGGAATGTGACCAGGGCTTCCCAGAAATGCCCCTTCCCGATGCTCTTGAAGCTCAGGGCGCCGGCGGTGGATTTGATTTTGTGAACGTCGATGACTTTTTTGAAGTAGCTGAAAGCGGCGTCGCCGGCGGGAGTGTCGGGGAAGGCCGTGACCCTGGTGTGACGGAACCAGGAAACGGCGGTGACGAAGATGACGCCGTAAATCATAGCGCCTTTTACGTTTTTGACCAGACAATAAGCGATAATTACGAATCCTACCATTCCTAGCCAGAAAGTCGGGCTCTCCATTCTGCCGTTCAAGCAGAGGATATCCCCGGAGACGGTCCCGCCGGGAACAAGAGAAACGGTGCCGTTTGCTGCGGTGGTAACCTGCGCAACCGCCGCACGCGCGGAGCGTGGGCATGCTCCCAGCGTGATGAGCGTTGACGGGCTGAAGCTAACGAGGCCCAGGCCTTCATTGTTCTGAAGCCCAATAAAGGCCAGAAAAAGCCCAATGCCAGCCGAGGATGAGATTCTCACCGGTCTCGGAATCATCTTCGCGAGCCTGGCGCGTAGTCCGCACGCGGAGACAAGGAGGAATATCAGCCCTTCGATGAAAACTGCGGCCAACGCGCTCTGGTACGGCAAGTTGCCGGAGCCGTGGAATCCCACAACGGTATACGCGAAGTACGCGTTGGCGCCCATTCCCGGAGCCAAAGCCAGGGGCAAATTCGCGAAAACGCCCATGACCACGCAGCCGATCAGCGACGACGCCACGGTGGCGACGATCAGATCCTTCCGCGTCTTCTCGAGGCAGGCGGCGTAGCCGGGATTGACGGGGTTGAATTTACAGGACTCGTCGGGATGGATGATTCTGGTGCAGCCGGAGAGGGGAGATGCGGGGTCGGCGCAGAGGGGGACGCAGTCGGAGACAGAGCAAGTTCCGCCGGAGTCGGTGAGGATGGAGGCGTTGACGGCGAGGATGTAGGCCATGGTGAGGAAGGTGGCGGTGCCGGCGCGGAGCTCGGTGGTGAAGGTGGTGTTCCGCTCCGCGAGCTTGAAGCGCCTGCCAACGGGGCCTCCTGCCACGGAGGAGTTGAGGCGACTCACCAGAGATCTTGTAGTGCTGGACGCCTCGGCCGCCGTGGGCGGTGGCGCCGACGATGGACTCCCAGTCTCCAAGTCCATGGATAGTTAATGCCTTTGGTCCGTGACGCACTTAAATAGGAATACCGGTAATCGGTTTACTTCGGCTTACTCCCAACCCAATTACTTGTTTAAAAAGGAAACAAATATGATAAGCAATTGGAGAATGCTATCTCGCATAATTTGAGTCTAGTGAGAATTGGCCAAATACTATCCGTACCTTCGTGGTTTGAAAAATAAGTAACAATGCTCTCATATTTTTAAGACTTATTTTAAAAATTTTTGTGGTTTCAAAACATAGCATACATACCTTATATGATTATTTTTCGGCCACTTTTTGGCAAAGAGGAGATATTGGTGCATATTTTCCAAACAATAAGAAGCTCATTTTTTATTTTTCGTTTATTTTTTGTTTTTTTCCTCATTTTTTCAATTATTAAATTTTTAATCAAGGTTTTTAATTTTTTTTTAAATAAAAAAGAGTGTCGAAAATGTATAGTTTATTACTTTTTGTTTTCTGTAAGAAAAAAGTAAAAACTTTTTTTGAGAAATTCAAAAATAAAGGATTTAAATAAGAAATAAAATAAAACAAATGATTAAAATGAATATCCTTTTTAGACATCCCAATTCTAAGGACTTTCTTAGTGTTCTAAAAATTCCTTTTTGTATATGATTCTTTTTTTTATTCATATTTTCAGTTTTTTTCATTTGGTTATTCCATTTTTTTATTTTTAGTTTTTATTCTGGATTTGCTTTATGAACTCACCAAAAAAATATTCTAAACAACTAAAGGCGAAAATGTTTAATTTGAGATAGGTGGAGTATATGTTATTTTTTTTATTTTTAATTGAAATACAAAGACTTTTATTTTTTTTAAAATACTATAAAAATGACATGTATTTAAAAAAACGTTTCTATGAAAAGAAAACAAAGTAGATAGAAATAGATAAAAATAGATTAAAAAAATAAATAATAAATGAAAAATAAGAAACGAGTACAAGTGCCTCTTATGGTTTAGAAAATAGGAACTGATAGCCCCATCTCCGCTGAAAAATGATTGAAAAATGATCAGAAGGGTTGTGGATGCAACCTTTTGAAAACCACGCAGACTTTAGAAATAAAATTTAAAAATAGAGGAGGTATTGGTGTCAATCTTTCAATCCAGAGGGGGCACTAGAGCTATTTGGGCAGAAACTTTTTTGGGTATATAACCATATTCAGATTAGATCAGATCAGATAAAACTTATTTTAATTTGATCAGAACCATTCACATTATGTAAAGAGGACATGTCCTTAGCTGGGATACAATATAGTTCTTGTACCGCAAGGGGATAGAATACAGAAAAGCCTTAATTTTCTTAAGAAAAGTAGAAGTGATCTTAAAGAGGGTGTTTGGCACTAAAGTACTTTTTAGAATTTAGCTTATGTTTTAAGTGATAATCATCTTATTCTGTTTGACATACCAATTTATGCTTTTCTTCACAATCATTTCGTACGTAGAACAGGGCCGGTCCCGAGGATTCATGTGCCTGGGCCGGAACACAAAAAAGGCCCTAAAAGTTTTATTCTTAGTGGTCTAACAAATTCACATATGTAAACTAATTATATTCAAATTATAATTAAAAAAATATTAGAAGAAAATAATAAATGAAAAAATAATAGTAATACCGTAAAAGCTAGTCGAGGGTTCGAGAAGTTCTCCTTGCATTCTTGAGAGCAAATTGGTTGATCACATCTTCACTTCTTTTTTTAATTGTTTTTTTCTTTTTCAGTTTTAATTTTTTTTATAAATCATAAATTCATATCAATTCGTCAATTTTTCAGTTTTTAATTTTTTTTTTTCAATTTTCAGTCTTTTTTATATAAATATATCATAAATAACAAATTCAAATCAATTCATCCAAAACAAATAAATAACATATAGAACCATTAATTCATTATATTTAAGGAATGAAAATAGAGACAGATTTCAAATTTAAAACTAATAATTAACCCTAAATTTTAAATCTAAAAAATGAAACAAAGAAAGAAAAATTGAGATTTAAGAAATAAAAATTACAAAATTAGAAAGCTATGATATTTAATTGAATATAGAATGCCTGGAGGGTGGAGCCGTTGAGGTCGGCGTCCGGCGGTAGAGGCGGCGTCCTTCTTCCGCTATCGGCAGCCGGCTCTTCCGTCTTCGCCTCTTCCGGTCCTCTCTTTGTTCGGCTCATCTTCTGATTTTTTTTTTGTCTAAAAGGTGAGGGGTGGATTGGGCTAATAAGGGATAGAAGTAAGGTAATGGGTGGGTGGACTGGGCCTTAATTGAAATGGGCTTCTTATATACATATATGTATAAAATACTTAATAAAAAATTTGGTGCCCCTAAAATTATTGGGCCCGGCCCGGACGGACACTTTGTCCCCCTATTGGGCCGGCCCTGACGTAGAACATGATTTCGGAGAAGCAAATAAATTATTTTTCCATTCGACTAAAAATAAAATTTTCATTTCTTTTTTTCTATAAAAGGAATGAATGATTGACATCAATGCAGTGCGTGAACTATAAAATTATAGTGTGAGCAATAGAGCATGTGCAATGGTAAGTAAAAGAGATGCCTTGCACTGCTACGTCATCTTATTCCACTCATATCATGGCATGGCAAGCCCAAAATGCCTTGTTTGGTGAGGCATGAGTGTGGCACTTCATCTTTCTTTTTTTATTTTTTTTAAAATATTTTTTTTAAATATTTTATGAAAAAAATTTAAAAGAAAGTAGAATAATTTTTTAATAAAATAAATAATAAAAATATTTTTTTACGCTTAAAAAGCATTAAAAAATGTAAAAAAGTGATAAAAATAATGACTTGCCATTGTAGAACTTGCTACTCCATTCACTTGCCACACGCTGACTGGACTATTTTTTATTGGTTAAAATGTTCCATGTCGACATGTGGCATTCTATTTTCGGCTTGTCATTGTTGATGCTCTTAAGATGTACTTCGTACTAAATTGTTTTAAAGCGCTGAAAGTGCATTTAGATCGTCAATTCAAGGATTAAGTGTCTCCTAGTTTAAATTTTTAAAGAATTAAGTTATCTAGTGAGCATGTAGTTTTATATTAATTTTTTAAAAATACTTTGCACTTTTGTATTTTGATGTTTTGAATTCAACTTACACATTTCTCGTGGAAAACAGTTATTCAAACATTATTTATATGATAAAATTTTATTCTCTTTATTTACTTATTTTTACTATTCTATATTATAAAATAGTAATATCATCATCTTTTGTTTTAAATTTTTTTATGTAGTTTTTAAACATATAAACTTTTACACTTACAATTAAATAAATTAAATGGTAATAAAATCAGCCAATCCTTATTATAGAATGGGCAATTCAAATTGCATACTACGTAGTATGTGCTCTTTTAGATAGAAAAACACAACCAAATATTGAAAAAACTGAACATTGAAAAAAAAAATTACTTCTTCCGTCTACCTAAGATCTTCCCATTACGCGTTACGAAGCTTGACCGACTTTATTTTCAATTCAATTTAATTGATTATAGTAGTAAAATTTTAAAATAAAAATTATATAGTAATAAACTACATGAAAAGTTCTATAAAACTAGAGGTGACAAAACTATAGTATTTTATGAAATGACTAGTAAAAATGAGCAAACAAAGTGAGTAAAATTTGACCCTGTGAATAATGTCTGGGAAGATCTATGATAGACAAAGGGAGTATAAAAGTAGAAGAAGAAATTGAAGTATTATTTGAAAGCTAAAAATTCATTTAATTTTTTTTGAGTTTAATTCTAAAATTTGAAGACTAATAATTACGGAGTACAATTTAGAAAAAAAAATATAATCTACCTAAATAAGAATAAATCACAAGACTTATACTCCGTATATGTTAACAATTCAGTGTTTTATTCTCCCTCCGTCTCATAAAGTGTTACCCATTTTGACTAAAGTAGAAATTAAGGGAGGAATAATTTTGTGTTGACTTTCCAAAAAAACCCACTTGATGTGATGGGTAAAAGTATGATGTGATGTGTAGATTATTAGAAAAAAAGTATGATGTAATAGGTAGGGTTTGAAAAAGTAAGGGGTAAAAGTGGTTTTTTAATAGAAATGAGTAGGAGATTGTGGGACACAATTTTTTTGAAAGGTGTAAATCTTTTTGGGACGGAGGGAGTATATATTGTGTTTTGGCATTATAAAATCCATTTTTTTATTATAAAAACATTGAATATTCACCTTAATATCAGTATTCATCCTTTGATCAAACATGATTTTGTTGCTGCTTTTGACTGGCCGGACCCATGCCTCGATTATTGTTAATTAAAAATTAGTGAATAAAATCAAAATAGAAATCGCAATGAATGAATAAAACAATTGGCCGCTGATGAATCCTAATTAGCTTTACACAAAAAGAAATATAATGCAGTTCCAATGATGATACGACAAAGCAATATACGTATTGAAAAGATTGCCACAGTTTCATTTTTTAGTTAAATTGAAACACTATTTGACTATAAATTAAATATAGGTTTGAAATAATTAAATATTATAAAAATTTAATATTTCAAAACTATATTTTAAAATAAACTTAAAATTTCAAAATTTACATTATAACTAAATATATTTTTCTATAATTCACGGGCAATCTTTTAAGGACGGAAGCAGTAGTATACTCTAAACAAGCAAATAATACGGAGTAATGATTAATTAGATACACAATAATAATAATAATAATAATAATAATAATAATAATAATAATAATAATAATAATAATAATAATACGGAGTAATAGTTTTAATAATTTTATGTAGATCGATCTAAGTAATAACAAACGAAGTGTACCAATTCAAAGAAGAAAAAAATACGAACAGGAAGTGCCAATTATTTTTTTTCATAAAGTTTACGAATTATTGCAATAAAGAATCATTATGGATAATAATAGATACGGTTCAAAAAAAAATTGAAAGGGAAAAGAAAAGAAAATGAGAGAAGAATAATTTTTTTGTTCGGTTAAAAAAGGAAAAGAGAAGAAAAATGGAAGGAAAAAAAAAGAGAAAATCAAAATGTACTAATGCTATGTCTAGATCAAAAAATTTGATAAGAAAAAAATAAAATAAAATGTCTTTCTCTCATTTTTCTCACTAAGAT